TGTATTTTCTTTTTTTTCTTTCTTTCTTCCTTTTTGACCGGTAAGGGGATCGCAACCCTCGGCACAGTGTGGTCTGCACCACACTCAGCCAGTGAGCGCACCGGCCATCCCTATATAGGATCTGAACCCGCAGCTCGGTGCTACCAGCACCGCACTCTCCCAAGCGAGCCATGGGGCCAGCCCCATATGTGTGTTTTCTATGTGAGAAAATATCAGTGTACAAACTGACACACAAATATCAAGAAGGTCAGCTCACATACTACACAAATTATCTTCGTTCTCAGGCATTAAGATATCATGATTTTGTAAGTGTGGTTGGGGCCCAAGTAAAGTCTTGCCAAAAGCAAAAATGCCCATGGGTAAAATAGAAGGAAATGGGAATTATAAATGTTGTCTTGTGACTTCCTAGAGGTTTTCCCAAGTGGCGATATATGTAGACCTATATTTTTCCAACCTGTACATCATTAGAGCAAACCAAAATTATCTCCAGGCTGGTAGAGAGAGGGTTAAATATAAAGGGAAATATTATATCTAGGATGGCATCTTACTTACGTTGTCCTGGATGCAAAGAATGACAACAAAATTAATAAGCAACATGAGAATAAAAACCATTCTCTCTTATTCACTTGTATTCCTTGTGACTAGTACTATGCCTGACCTGGGGTCAGAATTTAACATTTATTTCTTAAATAGATGACTGCAGTTTAATTTGGTAAAAACATTTTTGGAATAAAATTTGGAAATAGATTTTAAGTATCTTAAAATTTTACTTCACCCTTCATATTGTAATTTTATTTCTGGAAATTTATCTGACAAAAGAATTTTGTCCTAAAGAAAAAATGCAAGATTTATATTCAAGGATTTCCATGGCAACATTATCTATAATAACATAAATTAGAAATAAGCAAGATACACTGTAATAGTGAGCTCGGTTAAAATGAAGTATTAAATAGCTATTAAAACAATTTTAAGAGGATTTTTTAAAGACAGAAAGTTTCACAATATGTTACTAACTAAAAAGCAGGATTCAAAAGTTTGTAAGATTCATTGTAGTTTTATTTAAAAATGTATATGTAAGTGAATGATTAAAGTTTAATTTGGTAAAACATTTTTGTTTATGGCTATATTTTAGTGTCAACATTACAGATGATCTCCATTTTAAATTTATTTTTCTGTACTTTCCAGAATTCCCACAATAATTATGTATTGTACATATAATCACTATCTTTTATATATGTGGGTAGGGTGTGTGTTTGTGTGTGTGTGTGTGTGTATAATTTCAAAACAGTTAGAAATTTTACTACCAATATCACAGTGGAACAGATCTCTTCCAACTCAAAGAAAATGAGAAAATGGTACGTATTTTAAATTAACAATTACATGGGTTTTAAGCCAACATTATTTATAAATCTAAAGACCAACTTACCCTTCATCTGGAACAACAAAAGACCTTGAATAGCCAAATCAATCCTGAGCAAAAAATATAAAGCCAGAGGCATAACACTACCTGACTTCAAATTATATTACAAAAATATTGTTACCAAAACAACATAGTACTGGTATAAAAATAGACATTCAGACCAATGGAGTAGAATTGAGAACCCAGAAATCACCCCTCAGGCTTACAGCCATCTGATATTGGACAAAGGCTACAAAAAATCTACATTGGGGAAAAGACTGCCTCTTCAACAAGTGGTGCTGGGAAAACTGGATATCCATATGCAGAAGAATGAAACTAGATATGCACCTTTTACCATACACTAAAATCAACTCAAAATGGATTAAAGATTTAAGTATAAAACCTGAAACTGTAACATTACTTAGGGAAAATATAGGTGAAACACTTCAGCACTAGATCTGGGCAAAGAGTTTACAAACATGAGCCCGAAAGCACAAGCAGTAAAAGAAAAAATAAACAGATGGGACTATATCAAACTAAAAAGCTTCTGCACGGCAAAGGAAACAATCAACAGAGTGAAACAACAATCTACAGAGTGGGAGAAAATTTTTGCTAACTATGCATCTGACAAGGGATTAATATCCAGAATATACAAGGAACTCAAGCAAGTATACAGTAAAAAAGCAAATGACCCAATTAAAAAATGGGCAAAGGAGCTGAAAAGACATTTTTCAAAGGAAGACATACGAATGGCCAACAGGTACATGAAAAAATGCTCAACATCACTCGTCATCAGGGAAATGCAAATTAAAACTACAATGAAATACCACCTCAGTTAGACAGGCTATAATCAAAAAGACGGTGAATAACAAATCCTGGCAAGGGTGTGGAGAGAATGGAACACTCTTACATTGTTGGTGGGGCTGCAAATTAGTACAACCACTAAGGAAAACAGTATGGAGCTTTCTCAAACAACTACAGACGGATATTCCATACAATCCAGCAATCCCACTTCTGGGTATATACCCAGAGGAATGGAAATCATCATGTCAAAGGGATACCTGCACTCCCATGTTCATCACAGCTCCGTCTAAAATAGCCAAGACATGGAGCCAACCTAAATGTCCATTGATGGATGATTGGATAAGGAAACTGTGGTATATATATACACAATGGAATACTAACTCTGCCATAAAAAAGAATGAAATACTCTCATTTGCAACAACATGGATAAGCCTGGAGAAACTTATGTTGAGTGAAATAAGTAAAGCACAGAGGGATAGATACTGCATGTACTCACTCATATGTGGGAGCTAAGAGAGAAAGAAAGACCACAGCAGTGCATTGGATTTGCAGAGGGAGAGAACATTCTTTGGGCTACAAACTGGAATGGGGGGGAAAGGCAGAGGCAGAGGGAGGTTGGGGATAATTGCATGGGGGACATGGGGTACAAATGCAATTTGTGGTAATGAGTATGCTGCCAGTATGAATCTGGTCCTCACATCATGGGCATGAGGGAGGGTTGACAATCAGCTTTGTATCTTATGAATATTCATAACCAATAAAAAAATTTTTAATTTAAATTTAAAAAATTGAGAACATATAGTTTTTTGCCTACTGTTATAGAAGTGGAATTGAGTAACAAACTCACTTAAACATTCTATTACAAATAACTATACTTTTTTACTTTGCTCTATGATATGGTATGGTCTCATTTATATAGATAATATAAGTCTTAACTCATGGCAAGTACAATAAATATTTGTCAATTGAAAAATACATAAATAAATAAGGACAAACTTTACATCATTATACAAACAGAAGTGAAACTTTTAAATTTATATTTCCCCCCAATATTTGTGCCTTACCTTTCTACCATACTAATTTTGAACCATGAGGAAAAATACCTTAATCTGAAATTTGTCTAAATCCCTGCACTATGCTCCTTGCCCTCCCCTTCTAGTACAATTTGTAATAGGACCTTGAGATTTCAAATGAGATAACAAAATGGTAGTTACTCATAATGGAAATCTAACTTCTGATCCCTCCTCTACCAACTCAAGCCAACTATACATACACACACACAGAGAGAGAGAGAGAGAGAGAGAGATTTAGCTATGTACTGGCATCATTCAGCTCCCCACATTATTTAAAGATGAGCTATTTAAATGAAGCCATAATAAAAAAATAACAGGTAACATTTATTAGCATTTTCTAAGATAGTAGGAGAAAATACACATACATGTATAACTAGAAATGACAACATATGGGCTGTTAACGTATGTAGCGAAATAAGTAGAAAGATGCTACTTATTATGGAGAATGGAAAAGAGACCACTGTCATCAAATGAAAAAAAAAACACTGTTTATGAAAGAAAACGGAAAAGAAAGTAATAAAAAGAAGAAATTCATGTTAGTGAGACATTCACAATCTCCTAATAGCATCTCATCTTCTTTCTTGCATAACTTTTCTGTTATTGTCACCTTTGTGGTCAAAACAGTTCCAAAAAGACATGTCTAATGACTTTTTCAATAACTTTTAATATCTTAATTTTGCTTATGCTTCTTATAACACCTTTTAATTAATAAAATTACTTCAGAAAAATCAAACACTACCCCTTCCTCCGAAAAATAAATGGAGAAACTTTGCAGCTGATTTAACAAAAAGCTACTTCTATTGCTCTTAAAATATCAGCCCAGAATAGTTTAGTTTTTAACTACAATAATTTTCATTCAAAATACAACATCTGCTTTTGAGAACCTAAATAGTTCTTTAATACTCACAAAATTTCAAGTTAGTAATCACCAGCATTACTATAAATATTAACCTGTATGCTTCTAAAATATAACTCAATAAATTTATATATATTAACAATTTAAATAGTTTAAGGAGGGAATGACAACCGAACAAATGAATAAAAAGAGAGGACTGAAATTGCAAAGATCTAATATGGACATAATGCAACATGCATAACTGAATTTTAAACCTTTATTAGAAAGTGTTGAAATTAGGGATCATTTAATGTGAAATCACTTGGTGTACTCAGTAATCTATTATATATTTCCCCACTTATTTGGTTTTGTCTGTTGACAAAAACATCTCAAGTATCATTATTTTTCAGAGCAATATTCAAACTCCAGTAATTATTATTAAATTTATCTCAAATTTCCTTAAGCTTGGAAAGCAAAGAAAAATACATAAATATTTACTTTCATTTTCAGTATCATCTTTGTACAGTGCAACATTTTTATTTCTCTTAAAAATCTATGACAATTTATAGTCATTTAAAGGTATAGAGCAAAAATCATGATCTTGAATTTTGGAATAATTACTAAGGTAAAAAAGGTTTTAGATATCCTCACAAAATCTAACTTTCATTAAATTCCAGAAAACCTAACTCTAGTAAAAAAAAAAAAAAAAACACTATGATAAATGAACAAAATAGAATTTCAATAAATTAAAATTATTAAGAATGAGAAAGTTGATGGTTAAAAGCACAATTATGTTCTAGTAAGAACGTAGTTTACAAAAAATTAGCATCATATTTTGAAAACACCATTTGATATTCCTAAAAGAGAAATTAATTTAGTGATTACATACTGAAAGTTGTCCAGATAAGAACTGTGGAACATCCCTCAACATGCCAGGACTCATAGGCGAGGTAACGGAAATAGAAGGACGATCCATTTTTTGAGATTCGAATGAGCTAGAACCTGAAATGACAATTATATATAAAGAATAATAATAATGGCTATTCAATAGTATTTAATAACCTTTACCATATATATTTTAAATTATTTATTTTTTTAAATGTCCACAAAAAATCATTATATAGACCATTTTCTTAGCCACAATTTGCCAAATATTCTTAGATTTTTTTTTTTTGGAAGCCTATGTGCAGTTTATGGATTTTCTTAAGCCAAAAGTGAACCATTTTCTGTAGCAATCATAGCAGAGAATAAGTTACTTCTTCTGTTATGTGTACTGTACTCAAATCTTACAATAATGTATTACAAATTTTTTTTTAATAGAAACAGGGAGGAATAACCAAAACATAAGTCAATAAAGCAACTAGAAGACAGTCTAAACTTACAATGCTAAGAACTTAAGTACTAGAATTTCCAAAATTATTACATGTTTCCAAGGGGTGATTTTTAAAACCATATCTGGAAAAATATAACAAATTAGACTGAAAGAAAGGAAGTGAGGAGCTATGAAAAAGGATACGGAATAGCAGAAAATGCAGAACCACTGTATCCAGAAGTTATATGTATGAATTTATTTCTTTGAAGGGGAAGGAAAGGGACCAAAAAGGACACTGGAGGAATTATGTGCCTGGAATTCTGGACTATGTATTTTGGCACTAATAGTCTCCACACTAAGCTTTTATGAGTGAGGTAATAAAAACCGTGTTTGAGGAAGATGACTTTACCACGTGTTTAAAATATAGATTGGAATGGAGAGGTGGAAAACAGTTAAGAGCAAGTAGAATTCAATAAGTTGATAATAGTAAAGATTCTGAAAATGGAATGGAAAGAAGGAATTTAGGTGATAACATCAAATATGAAAATGATGACTCAGAAGTTTCTGAGATGACATCAGATGACACCCTAGGAAAGATGTAAATTAGGTAACTGGAAATACAGATGGGGCCACAGGTTGGAGTAGATACTAGTGTCGCAAGTTAACCTATTGAGTTATATGCCTAACTGGAGATGCAGGTGGATAAAAATCACCTCTAGAGAAAACACAGTGTAAAATGAAGGGAAAACCTCAAGGATCAGAAGTAATAGTGATATCTTTAGCATTATTTAGTAAATAGAAAGAATGATGCCTTTATAGTAAGAAATAAGCTGTTTTGTTACCATAAAGCTTGTTAAGCTTCTGGTTAGCAGGAAGACACGTAACAGGATGTATTCTTTGAACATCCATGGATGAAGGGACAATGATAAATCCTTTTGCTAAGGTAAACTTAGGAGTCATATACCTGGCAATTAAAACCATAAGAAGAGAAGAATTTATTAAAGACCCAGAAACAGGGGGTTAAGGACTGAGCCTTGAAGAAACCTATTCTTCAAAGTTTAAAGAATAAATGATTGGATCCAATTTCAGAGAAAAACCCACCGATTCCTCAGGAACAATTTTGGAATTGTAGCCAAGAAGCTTTTTAAATAGCTGTAGTGAGATAAAGGATTCCATACTGCTCACATGATATCTTAGTGATATAAGTGAATAAAAATTTTACACACTTTTAAAAAACTTTTTAAAATTTTACACAGGATTGTCGTAAGAACTAACTGTGAAAATACTGTTACAACATCAAGCATAGATGGAAGTTTTAAATAAAATGGGATCAATGAGGATGATAATGATAATAATATGTAACAATAATTATAATTATATTATTATTTATTTATTATGTCATAGCTTTAAGTGATCATGATATCATTTTGAATAAAATGATTTAATATCTAGCTAAACATGCTAAATCAAATAGGTTATGTGACCATATTTTAAAGTCTAGAGCTATGGCATTCTAAAAGGACTTCACCTCTATGGCAAATATTTTAAAGAAATTTATACTTAAAAGTGTAAATATAAAAGTAAACCACATCTACCTTAGTAAATTCTCAGTTATTGAGGTATATAGATAATTCTTTTTTTTTTTTTTTGACCGGCAAGAAGATCGCAACCCTCGGCACGGTGTGGTCTGCACCACGCTCAGCCAGTGAGTGCACTGGCCATCCCTATATAGGATCCAAACCTGCGGCCTCAGCACCAGCGCCGCACACTCCCGAGTCAGCCACGGGGCCGGCCCTAATCTGACCACTTCTAACCATATTCATTGCTACCACTATGTTCTAAATCACCATTGGCTTACCATTACATTATCAACTTGTCCTCTCACTGGTCTCTTGGCTTGTACCCTTCACTCCATTTAATCAATTTTCAAAACAGTAGCAAGATTTTAAAATTTAAATATCTCCCCCAAACCGTCCTACATAGCTTCCAATTTCCCTCAGAGTAAAAGCCAGAGTCCTTACAGTGGCTTATAAAGACTATGCAATTTGGCTGCTCATTATTCCTCTATCCTCGCTCCTACCATTCTCTCCCTTGCTCACTCCATTCAGGCACATTGGCCTCCTTGCATTTCCTTAAATGCACCCTAGGCTTTCCTGCCTTAGAGCAACTGCACCGGCTGATCCCTGTATTTGGACCCCCATATAGCCATTCTCTTCAGTTTTTACTCCAGTCCTTCCCTTTCAATGTGGTCTATCCTGATCAACATATTTCAAATTGCAACCCTCCTCCTCTGTCCCAATATCCCTTATTCTACTCTCAATCAAGAAACTTAGTTCATTGGAAAAAATCCGTTTGTTTAGCATCTGAAATAGCACTCAAACACAAGTAACAAAAGGTTTCCACGCATTTGACATTATTTAAACTTAAATATCTATTGTTCCATTACTGCTCTGATGTTAAATCAGAATTATTATCCCATTTTCCAAAAATATAAATCAGAATAAATGCAATTATTCACTAGTTTGTTCCAAGCATTTACTCTCACTTAATGAGAGGTGAGGTTACAAAGTAGCAAATTTTGAAATTGGGGAAAATTGGGGGGATGAAACTTTTGGGAGCCGTAGATAAATTCATGATTTTTTATTGTGATGATGGTTTACCGGGTATATATGTATGTCAAACTTACCTACTTGTGCACTTTAATTATGTGCAGTATATTGTACTATAACTTAATCAAGCAAAAAATCCATAGTAAAGACAGTGTAAATTTTAAAAAAAATCTTAAAATATTGTGGAATTGTGTACTTTCTTCCTATAGTGACATGAATGAAATAATACTGTTGTCCATCGTAATATGATTATATACTTGAAGACAAGGTCATTATATTTCTTACCTCATATTAATAGATAAACTACTTCATTTGACCTCTGATGAATGATATTATTAATAACAGTTTCTTCTAGAATAAATGAAACTTACTAGACTCCAGTTGTGCGTGTGTGCTATCAGGTATTCTAGGTATATCTCTGAAATGACAGAAAAAGAAAACAAGAAACTTTTAACAATTAATGCAACTGTATTTTGATCATTATCAACCCATATTATAACAGGACAGTGTATAGTGAAGAAAACTGTGTATGGTAACAGGCTATATGAGGATACTTCCAAAAGTTCATAGAAATACACGTATTATTATATTCTGTCTTTCCATGAACTTTTTGAAGCACCCTCATATAAATAAGAAGAAAATAAGCCTTACTACTTTATTGCTAATAAAAGCATTCTGGGTTAACAACTATTTAAAAGAATTAAAATTCATATGCATTTACAGATTTATAAAAACATATATTTTATTTTCTACATGCCTATCTACACAATATGGCTTCTAAAAATTTGTGTATTCAAGATAAATTCTACAGATAAATTTTAATTCCAGTCTACTCTTTATTTTACCTGCTGTTCTAAATCAGTAACATTGAAGTGCAAGTAAAATATCATCAAAACAAAAATTTTAATATTTAGATTGTGATTGAAACTTTTTAAATGTAGTAACTTCATCAAGAAAAAGCAAACATGTTTCATATTGGGACTCACAAAATTACCTTATAACTATATTTACAACAAAAATAATTGTATATTTTTGTTTGAAATTTGACAAGAGGGATAGATATTAATGGTTAAGGGCATTCAGAAAATTACATAAAAGACTATAAATTATTTAAAATATTAAACAAAAATATTTTATTTAAAAATTAAAATATGATTTTTGGATTCTTTAATACCAAGAAATATATTTGATAAATACACTGAGCAGATACACTGCAGTTTTACCATCTTACAAGACTATGAAAAGACAAAATGAAAACTGCATACAATTTCATGTCAGATTCATTACTTTGAAAGGACATTTCAATAAAACTAAGCTACCAACCTGTCATTTTTTCCAACATAAAAAGAGATTATAATAATACACCCCAATCATTTTCTAAATGAATGAAAACTGGGCATTATTATAGTATAACGAAGAATTTCTGTACCTCCACCCTAAAGTGCTCTTACATCAAATATACATTTAATAATTAACTGTCAGTTTATATATTTTTCTATTGTTTGTACAATATATTAGATTAATGTATATCTTTTAGGTTGGCATAATATGTAAGCTTCTGTAAAGGAAATAGTGCTGTGATATATAATCAGTAATTCTCATACTTTAGGTGAAAGGATTATATTTATTGCCAACTTTTGGAAATTGTCAATTTAATCTATAGGCAACAAATTACAAAGACAAGAGTACTTTTGTGTTTGCTTATTTTTGGACCGTTTACCCATCATTCTTTAAAGATGTTGTGTTTTTCCTTAGACTATTCCCTCTATCTGGGAATTGCATGCCCTTTGGTCCTTTCTTTCTTATGCTGAAATCTCCATTTTGAAAAAGTATGTAAAATTTGTAAACTATACTTGATCACCATTTTGAAAATGTAGAGAACCATAGTTCATGAAACTTATCTTAAAAGTAATTGTTACTATAATCTACTTCTGCTACTAATGTCTTTAGCCATCTTCTAAGCTACTGAAATAATAAAAATAGTAAAAACTTAAATATTTCTTCTTGTAATTAATTGTATATTCTATCATGATCAGATAAAGAGATATGATTTCTGGTGAGGTGTTTTGGTAAAGAAGAAGAAAAATGTACTGTCCACAAAATAATTTATTTTCATAAGGCAGTCAGACATTTTTGGATTGCACATTGCAAATTGTTTGATATCAGTCAACTTTATACATTTATGAAGTATTGAAACCAAATTACCCAATAGGCCTTGAAACAACAAGCTCCACTTGTGGTTCAGGTTTGGATTCCAAAATAATGTTGTATACTTCCTCAAAAGTGGCTCCTTGCAATAGCCTTCCATTCCATTCTAATACTTCATCACCTATAGTGTGTGTGAGTAAAGATAATATTAGAAAAACTAATTCCATAAAATGCACTCGAAACAAAAGCAATCCTACGCTGCAATGACCTTCATAGAATAAAATGGCCATTATGAAATAAGAAACATATTGAGAACAGCTTCAGTGGCACAAAATTTGATGACCTGGAGGATTAGTATAATTCACCCAAAAGGACAATGGTCAGAGGAAAATAAAATTACATAAAAATTATCTCTGTGATTTCTTAATAGAAATTCTAATTCTAGAAAACTATCAAAGTCAGTTGTCTCTGAAAATTTTGTGACACTGTACTCTATGTTTCTGAATATATATGCTACTGAGCACTTTGTTTTCTTTAAAGGGTCTCCATTATCTAAATTCTCTTGCAAAAAGCTTAATAATTAGCATCTTATCGAAATCTCTTCAAGGCACTTAAGGATCTCTCCAATAATATCCATTACCCAAGAGATAAGGGGTGGCACATTTTAGGGAACATTTATCTATGAAGTTTGCTTCCTAAACTATGTTGGAATTTTTTAAAAAATAATAAAGCTTATGGGAAACAAAATAGGTTAAAATTAGAAACATATTAGAACATACATCAGTAAAAAAAATAAGGTCAGTAAATATAAAAATCATCTTATATGATTCAAGAAATAACAGTTATAACTTTTCATTAATTAATAAAGACTTTCATCTAAGTTAAATGAGCTCTTTGTTACTGGTCAATTCACTTCTAAATGAAAATAACTTTTTCATAACTACTCCAATTTAACATTTAAAAGTAAATCATCAAAGGTAGAAACATACCTGGTCTGAGATGTCCTACAGTATCAGCTAAACTTCCTTTTTTCACTTTGGTAATAAATGCACAAAGCCGACCTGATTCAGTCATCTTTCCTCCTACAACCTGTTTAAAAGAGGATAGTATTAAAACAGGCATATTGTTAAAATGAACATAGTTGAAAACTCAAGTAAAAAATATCTAGACTAATTTGCAGGTTATAAAACTGTAATTTAATGTACTGAAAATAATTTCTTAAATAATATAATGTTATTAGAAACTGAGTAAGTAACCTAAGAACTAGCTCTTTTTATGTATTCCAAATGTTTTGCAATTTAATCTATTCTTTGTTGAAAATGTTGCATATATCACAAAATTCAGCAATTTGTACTTTCTGTCTTTACTACAGAATTCTTACTTTTGTCATTTCCAAAAACATTATTACAGTACTATATAACTATATAAACATTTCTAGTTATAAATTTAAAATAATACAATAAAAAATATTTGTTACTTTTACTATAATTATGACATACTACCAAATTTTCATTAGTTAGTAATCTTTTTAGGCACATTGATAATGTGCATAATAATGACAGATCTTTCTTGAGAAAATTACAAAATTTACTTAAAGTTATCAGAAGTAATGTAAACTTTAGGCCATTTGCATCCCAATTTTTCTATTTTTATGTTTCTATTAAAATATATCATTTCAAAAAAGAAAACATTAGGAATAATGCTGTGGAGTCATATGTGTACCTGTAAGATAGTGGCCTTTTACAAAATTAATGTTTTGATACTGATCAATCGCCATTCAATCAATATCTCAACTTTATAGCAAGTGAAGCAAACAATAGTAACTAACTTCATTACTAAAATAAATTGTTTTTTTCTCTTCTAAATTGAGTCAAAGATATCTGAATTCAAAAGTCACTGACTTATCTTATTCTATGCATTTATTCCATAATTACAGTGAATTAAATCCAGTTGCAAATAAGTTAATATTAACTAATCAGTCCTATGTTTGATTCTAAATATTAAATGTATAGATTTTATAGGCTTGCATCCTTATTTAAACATTAAAACTTTCTTGGCTTAACAAACTTTAATGATAAAATTTATTTATACTGACTATAATTACTATTATTGAAATTTTACAGTGTGCCAGTCACTGCACTAAATGTTTGTGTATTGACTTATTCAATCATATTATAACAATTCAGTAAGCATTATTATACCCTTGAACAGATGAGAAATGTCATGCACCTAGTAAATGCTGTAACTGGAATCCAAGCCAAGACTTCCTAACCTGTATACCACACTGCTCTTATACTGTCTGGGCAGATCTGATTTAAATACCACCATCATCACCATCATGTGACCACAGGCAAGTTACAACACCTCTCTACACCTATTTCTCATGTGTTTTGAGTGTTAAATAAGATGATAGATGTAAATGCTAGAGTGCCAGCCAGATGGTAGCTATCCAATAAATCTTAGTTGCCCAATTCCATTTATACCCAAAGCTTCCTAATATCTCTTACTTATATTCTATAGGACAACTTCTGTAGGAATGGCTAAACTCTAAAACACTCTTTTTTCATTTTAGTTTTTAATTCGCCATACTAGATGAACAAAAACCAGAGCTCTTTGCCAAACTGGTAGGTTAAAAATGGAATTTCAGTATACTTTTAATTAGCATTTAAAAATTATTCTTCAATTGAAGATCTTTTCATATTTTTGAAAGTATATTTACTTTTCTGTGACTTGAGTGTTTCTATCTTTTGCTTACTTTTTATTGGTCTTTTCTTATTGATATCTAGAGGTTCATGGTATTAGAAAAATTAGAATTTTGTGACATGAATTGCAAATATTATTCCCAGTTGTTTTTGGCATTTTGACTTTATTTATGGTATTTTTTTTTTGCCATCTCAAAATGTGTCATTGTTATGTCATCAAATTTAAAGTCTTACTTTATGACTTCTGAATTTTGTATCAATATTAGAAAAACTTTTTCTGTTCAAATATTAATTTAAAAATTTTTCTAATGTTCTTAATGTTTTCTTTTTATGTTTATTTATTTTTTAAAAATATACACAATTTTTATTTGTCAATTATACCTCAATAAGGAAAAAAAAATAATTGTTGCCGTGGCAACAAAATATAATGCAAAGGACATATAACTTCAAATATTTATTTACCTATTTATTTTTAATAGCATTTCCAGGGTGTAAAAGACCATAAATGCTCATTGAAATTAATTTTAAAATGCAGAAAATTATTAAGAAGAGAATAAAACCCATAATCCCATCATACATGGGCAAAACCATTAATGCTTTTATGGATTTTTCTTTCTCTCTTTCTGAACCAGGCACTGTATTGCTGCTGGTGGGAATGTAAATGAATTCAACCTCCATGAAGAGCAATTGGTAACATGTGTCAAAATTTAAAAGCAAATTAGCACAGCCATTATGTAAAACAGTATGGAGGTTTCTCAAACACCTACAAATAGAACTACCATATGATTCAGCAATCCCACTACTGGGTATATACCTAAAGGAATGGAAATCATCATGCTGAAGGTACACCTACACTCCCATGTTCATCGCAGCTCTATTAACAATAGCCAAAATATGAAACCAACGTAAATGTCCATCGACAGATGACTGGATAATTAAAATGTGGTATATATACACCATGGAATACTACTCTGACATAAAAAAGAATGAAATTCTGCCATTTGCAGCAACATGAATGAGCTTGGGGAAATATATGGTAAGTGAAATAAGCCAAACTCAGAAAGGGAAATACTAGATGGAAGAGAAGAGAAGAGAAGAGAAGAGAAGAGAAGAGAAGAGAAGAGAAGAGAAGAGAAGAGAAGAGAAGAGAAGAGAAGAGAAGAGAAGAGAAGAGAAGAGAAGAGAAGAGAAGAGAAGAGAAGAGAAGAGAAGAGAAGAGAAGAGAAGAGAAGAGAAGAGAAGAGAAGAGAAGAGAAGAGAAGAGAAGAGAAGAGAAGAGAAGAGAAGAGAAGAGAAGAGAAGAGAAGAGAAGAGAAGAGAAGAGAAGAGAAGAGAAGAGAAGAGAAGAGAAGAGAAGAGAAGAGAAGAGAAGAGAAGAGAAGAGAAGAGAAAAAAGAAAAAGGAGGACCACAGTAGTGTGTTGAACTTTCAGGAGAGAACAAACCTAAGGATACTAGTTATTGGGGGGAAGAGAGGGAGGGAAGGAGGTTGAGGACTGATAGGTTGGGTGGAGGGTATGAGGAAGGATTGTGATTTGAAATGATGAATATGCTAATAATAACAATAATAAAACTTAAATGCAAAAAAAAAAAAAAAAAAAAAAAAAGAAAGAAAGAAAAAACCAGAGCTCTATTTGGTGTATTTAGCAAATAATTTTCTGTTATTTTACAATAAAATATAAATCAATATTTATATTTAATCTCCAAACATAATTATTTTTGAGTTTCCAGGCTTCAAATAGTATTCTCTCTTATGTATGAGCACACATGAACGAACATACACGTACATTTTATTACATTAATACAAAAATTATAATTCCTATATAATACACATATAACACTTCCCAAGTTTGCACATTGAGTAATTAAATGAAATTATCATTTTCATAGAATATAAACTTAAAGGACAAACTGCATAGGCAAAATAAGTTTGAGCATTTTGTTTAGGATTCAAATTGATCTTAATTATGTTACTTTCAATGTCTTCCAAAATTATATACATGAGTATTGTTATAGAATAATGGCAGCTTCTTAAATAATATTTGGAAAATAAAAAGTTTTAGATAATCAGTGCAAATATTTGTAAATTCTTGAAAATGGAAAAAATCCCACTAAATTAGTATCCTTTGCTTTTCTGTTAAATCTGTAAAAGAGTATAGAGCAAAACTTTCGTACAGTTTAGTACTTACCTTCAAACCAAGCATTGCTCCTGAATCTCGAGGTACACTTCCATCTTTTAGACGCTTATTTAATAAAATGCGACCAATTAAACGATCTCCATCTTTAGATGGCTGCCAGGTCACAGGGTGCTGACATATTGCATCAACAGACAAACAAAATTAATGGTTTTTTAATGCCAAATGATCTCTAACTGTACAATCTCTCTAAACTTCAGAATTCCAAACTGTAATGATTACACAAACCAGTCTGTGCTCCAAAACACTGATAAAAGGGATTACTACATTATGCTTATAACCTCAATTTTACAATCTCAAGTTTTTTCAAAATCCAATTACTTCAAGTTCTTTCAGTTCTCTATCACAATACTAAAGTTATAGAGCTCTCCATAATCTGAGAAGTCTTGAAAATATATGCAAACTCTCATCATCTACATGTTGAAAATTAATTAAAAATTTTACGTCCAGAAAAGACAGATTGAAATTCTACAGTTAAAAATGAGGATTTTCTTTTTGAACACTTTTGGAAGATTTTGAAAGACTGTATTATAGTAAAACTAAAACATGAAATTTGAACTATGATGAGGACTTTCTTGAATAGGTTTCTACATTAAAATTTTTAAAAATACACAAGCCACAGTAACTTTCCACTTGAATCTGCATGGGAGAAGTAGGCTTCATTCAAAGGTGAGGATAGATTACATTTCTCACTTTTTAGAGGTTCATTGATTCTTTGATTCTTTCTGGTCTTTAATCTATTTAGGAAATTACCTTTACTAGATAATTCAACGGTATCCATTGTTAAATAATGTTAAATAACCTTGAAAACATTAATAGTTTATTTCTATCTTAGGGCAGAACCAAGGCCTTTATAAATAACAATACCAACCCATTATGAATGACATGCTAAATAGCAAAGTAAATGACTTGTGTAATCATAGTTTCACAGTTATCTAAAAGTAACATGCATATCTTCATGCAAAATTTAGTAAGCAAAAGACAAGTTCCAGTTAATCACATCTATATGGTAAAGATTTCAAAAGTCCCACTATACTAAAAGCAAAAATAATAAATATCAAAGCATATGGCAATGGCTCTAATGCTAATTAATACTACATTAAAATGCTATGACAATAAAACAAAAGAGCAAAATGACAGTGAAAGGGAAAAAAGAAAAACAACTTTTTCTGTGTAAACAGACCCAATTATCTCCCTTTTGCCTGGGATTCAAACTGTTAATTTAATTTTCATCCCAAGGAAAGTATATGCAAGCAATTAAATATGCCAATCCAAAAATTGTTTATTATTCACGGTTTATAATAACATTACAAAATTCTATCATGTGACCATACACAAAACAGTCCTTTGTTCCTAAGTTATATTTTCATAAATTTATTTTTTGGTATGCTGTCAAATAAGAAAAACAGCAAAACAAGCAAGAGGCTTTTTGGTTTGGTTGATTGGTTTGGTTTTGTTTTTCTTTTCTGCACCTTGAGAAATGCTACATTGACCCTTAAAATGCCCTGTTCTTTTATTATGTTCTGTTTTAATGAGTGACAGAGTGCAAACAAAGACCAAATGAGCAGGTTAAAAGGCAGGCTACACAATCTCAGTACCTTATCACTATGGCTATGCTCCTCGTTAAGGGTTGTGCTACTACACGTATCTACCCCAGAGTCCTTAATCTGAGGCTCAGACCATTCCAAATCCTCTTCCAAAGAGTGGCCACCAAAGTACATCATTTTCTTTTGTCTCTCAGACCTGGTGTTAGAGTCCGACAAAACTGCCTGCTCACTAGTTTTTCTTTTTCCCTTTTGACTGTCCCCTACAGGTGTGGGATAAAAAAAAAAAAAAAATACAAAAAAGAAAACATGCAAAGGTGTAAATAAAAAAGGAAAAGTGAAATGATAACAGAAATTAAATAGTAAGGCTCCACATGTCTCACCAAAGACATTGGGGATGCCTCACTGCTATGCCAAGACGTATGATCCAACCAGTTGTAATCCATGTCTCCTGTGAGAGTCAGACAGACAAGAGTGCAGTAAAGGAGACGGCAAAAGAAAAGACAGACAGAGACATTATAAACATTTTAAATGCATGATCCTGTCTGGTTTCAAGAATTTTGTCTGTAGCGCTCCTTATATACACCAAGAGAAAGCTAAGACTCCAAATAAGTAAAATTTATAGAATGCAGAATATAAGGTTTATGTGGCCTAGACAGACCTTACAGAACAAAAGTCCTGCAAGAAGAGAAAAGGCTAATAATAAACAAGAAAAAACCACCACACCCAAAATTGCATATGCTGAAAAAGAAAAAGACTGTCAGCTATGTCTGTTATTCATGCTATTTTTCTTTTCTTTTTTTTTTTTTCATGCTGGCCTGAAGACATGAGTTTGTTCCCCAAAGATTAATGAACATTCTAAAAATTAAACAGTGGTTTGCCAATAACCACTATTTTTAAAAGAACCAAATAATTAAGTGTTGTTCCTGAAATGCAGTAAAATATTCTTTACAATGCTGAAACCTCCCCCAAAATTTTGGAGGTTAAAAAAAAAATTGGTTCCACAAAAGATTAATTTTCTACAAAAATGACAAAAGATTCATTTAATTTCTATTAGTAAAAATAAAATAAACTTTACATAATTATCATGAATTACTTAATATTACTTTGAAAAAATTTTTGGCATTTTTTTATAAATTGCATTCTTATAAAAAGTAAATTTTTTAAAAATAATAATTTTGTCAGAAAATTTACATAATTGGCAACTAAGAATAAATATCCATTTCCCAAACTTACGTGCTTATTTGATTTCTATTTGAAAAAGAACTTCTTTTCAGTCAATATGTACACATATAACTTTTTAAACTCTATTCATACTTTCATTTAAATTCTTTTTTTTTTTTTTCCTTTTTGTCTTTTTTCGTGACCGGCAATGGATCGCAACCCTCAGTGTTGCGCCCGGACCGGGACTGGCAACGGGATCGCAACCCTCAGCGTTGCGCCCGCACCTCGCTCAGCCAGTGAGCGGCAGGTCTGTATGTGGGATCCGAACCCTCAGCGGGAGCGCCGCCGCACTCCCAAGCGGCGCACTGTAGCAGTGCGCCACCGGGCCGGCCTCATTTAAATTCTTAAAAATATTTTCTGAACACCTCCCATTTGCTATGTATTGAGTTGAGCCCTAGTGTAAAGTGGTAAAACGATGAAATATGCTTATAGCAGAGTGAAGATAAACACAACAAACCATCAGTGTCATATAGGAAAGTACAAAACACTATGAGAGAGTATAATAAGATCTAATTTAGATTTGGGTATCAGTGAACACCCCTAAAGTAATAATGCTTAAGAAAGAACTGAAAGATGTGACCTAACAGACATGTAAGGAGATAGGCAGATGAAAAGTGAAGAAAAGAGCACTCCAGGAAGAAGTAACAACAAGGTAATGTAAAAGAACTAAAGGAACACGTGAGTCTGAACCAAAAATAATGAGGGAGAATACAGTACGACTGCCGAGGCAACCCTGACCAGCTTAGAGAGGTCTTTCTATGCTATACTAAAGATTATGAATTTCAACTGCTGAAGAATTTTAAGCAAAATGTTTGCATGATCTGATTTACATTTTTTAACAGATGAATCTAAGTACTATATAAAGACTGTGTTGGAAGACACCAAGAGTTAAAAGGCATTTGCAATAATCCATGGGAAAGGTGATTGGGGCTCAAACGAAGGTGAAAGCAATGAACACAGTAAGATGAGAGGGAAATTAGAGAGACTTTGGAGGTAGAAATACCAGTGTTAAGAAAGACTGAAGGGGCCGGCCCGGTGGCGCACTGCTACAGTGCGCCACTTGGGAAGCGCGGTAGCGCTCCCGCTGAGGGTTTGGATCCCACATACAGACCGGTTCCCGCTCACTGGCTGAGCGAGGTGCGGGGGCAACACCGAGGGTTGCAATCCCGTTGCCGGTCCCGGTCCAGTACGGGTGCGACAGTGAGGGTTGCGATCCGTTGCCGGTCACGAAAAAAGACAAAAAGGAAAAAAAAAAAAAAAGAAAGAAAGACTGAAGAGTCAAGGTTAACTCCCAGGGTTTTGGAATTAATAACTAAATGAAAGAAAAAACAATTTATAAGATAGAGAAAACTGGAGAAAGAACACTTTTTTGTCAGGGAAGAAAGAAGAGGGAATTATGCTATTTTGTAGAATCTAAGATGCTATTGACTGTAAGATTCATAAATTAAAGGATACTAGAATGGTAAAAATGTGCATCTTAGAATTTTTTAAATATCGTGGTTGATTTTGGATATATCATTTGCAATGCATATAAGATATTCAAGTGAATATAAGAAAGCAATCAGTCAAGCTGGAATAAAGCTTAGAAAGAAGTTTTGATCTGGAGACATAAATAGGAAATTATTAGTTTACAGACAGGAATAAGTGAGATCACTTAGGAACAGAGAATAAAATAAGGTATGAAGAGGACCCAGACTGAATTCTAACATTAAGAATTTGATTTGGGGCCAACCCCATGGCTCACTCGGGAGAGTGTGACGCTGGGAGTGCGGCGGCGCTCCTGCCACGGGTTCGGATCCTATATAGGGATGGCCGGTGCGCTCACTGGCTGAGCGTGGTGTGGGTGACACCAAGTCAAGGGTTGCAATCCCCTTACCGGTCACAAAAAAAGGACAAAAAAAAAAAGAATTTGATTTGAGGGAAAAGACAAAAAATAGGATTGAGAAAGAGCATGCAGAGGGACAAAGGAAAAGGGGAGGGAGATAGAGGGAGGTCTCCAAACCAAATTGAAGAGAGTTTCCTAAAAAGGAGGAGAAATCAACTACAGATGCTTCTCAACCTATGCTGGTCCTGGTAAACCCATCATAAGTTGAAAATACGGTAAGTTAAAGATGCATTTAAACTCTTAATGTCATAGCCTAACCTAGCCTACATTAAACATGTTCAGGACACTTACCAGGGTAAAAACTTCAAAAAGTTTATAGAAAAATAGAATTAAAAGATAACATGAATCCTTACATGAACTTTTTGACGTATTCTCATACATTAGCCTACAGTTGGGCTAAATCATCTAACACAAAGCCTACTTTGTAATAAAGTGTTGAATATCTCATATAATTTATTGAATACTATACTGAAAGTGAAAAACAGGCTGGTTGTTGTATGGGTACTCAAAGTACAGTTTCTATTGAATTCTTATGCTTCCACACCATAATAAAGTCGAAACATTTTTAAATTGAACCATTGTAAATCAAGAACCTTTGCATATTGAATGATTTCTCCACATCAAATAAAATGAAGAAATGAAAAGCATGCATTTGATTTGGCAACATGAAGATCAGAAAGGATATTAGAAAGAGCACTTTGGATAGAATGATGAAAATTAAAACCAGATTGAAGTAATCTAAGAACCAAAGGGAGGGGAAGAAGTAGAAAAACTGTGTGTAGATTAATGGTTCTTAAAGTGAAACCTCCAAAATGGCATCAACAACATCACCTGGGAACCTGTTAGAAATGCAAATTCTTGGGCACTACCCTAGGCCTAATGAATCAAAAACTCTGTGGTGGGACCTAACAATCCAAGGTTTAACATGCCTTCCAGGTGACTATGATATCAGTAATATCTGACAACAATTGGAGACAATTCTTTTAAGGAGTCTATGAAGGAAGATGAAGCTGTATTATCTAACACACACACACACACACACACACACACACACACACACACACACAAATGCAATTTGTTGAAAGAACCCATCCTTTAACCTGTGAGTTAGAGAAGTGCTTCCCAAACTTTTTCATGGCACCAATAAACGATTACAACATTAGTACAACATACTGGGCTAAGTGGAGATAACCAGCCCAGGGAATACTTATGCCCATGCCTGGACGGCTACACTAAAAGCCCAAAAAGCTGAAAGTATTTGTATTTCAGAAATCCTGTAGCCCTTTCAAATACATTACTCTTCCACAAAAAAAAAAAAAAAAATTGATAAATCTGTGAATTATAGAAAGAAATAGTAAGGACACTGTAAATCAAAATTCTTTACTGGTTTATGTGAAAGTAGGAGAATTCAGCTCACAATCTCTTTTCCCCACTGTGCTTGCAACCTATCAGGAAGGCAGATATGTAGCCCTTTCCTCTGTAAATAAAGGAAATAAACTGTTTAATGATTTAAACAAAACAACTGATTGACAAAAAAGAGTATCATACATGATGGGCACTGAGTAAACACTTGTTGTATGAGTAAAAATTAGTGTAAGAATTAAATAAGATAATAAACATTAACTACATAGTAAATAGTCCCAAACTATTGGGACTATTAGCATAAAGATCATAATACATATAACTTAATATTCTTATTTTGTGTAGCTTCAAAGGTCAGAAGTAAGATAGTAAGATATCTTTATTTAGTAGCAGTACAAAAATGAATTGTCAGGCTTTCCAATTCTAGAACAAGATGTAGAAGATGCAGAAAGAACCAGATGGAAATTTTAGAACTAAAAAAAGCAAATGGATGGGCCCAACAGCAGAATGGAGAAGAAAGAGGAATGCCTTCAATGAACTTTAGAACAATAGAAATTACCCAATCTGAAAAAGACAGAAGATAAACTAAAAAATAAACTAAAATGAACAGAGCTGTAGAGACCTGAGGGACTATAACAAAAGATCTAACATTCATGTCATTGCAGTTCCAGAAGAGAGGAGAAAGTGAACGGAGCTGGGAAAGTATTCAAAGAAACAATGGCTGAAAATTTCCCAAACTGTGCAAAAGATATAAGCTTATAAATTCAAGAAGCTATGTAAACCCCTAAACACGAAATATTCAAAGAAATCTGTGCCAAGATACATCATAATTGAATAAAAACAAAAACCAGAAGATATTGAAAGTAGCAAGAAAGAAACAACACCTTGCCTAAAGGGGAAAAACAATTTTAATGACAGCAGATTTCTCACCAGAAACCTTGGAGGTCAGAAGGAAGTGGCACAATATTTTTCAACTACTG